GAATTTAACCCCAAGAACAGTTACTAATTCAACTTATTCAAATGAATTTAAAAGAAGACAGAACTTCTGTTTTAACTTATTAAACAAGGGCGGCCCGACTGAAGAAGGCTGCCACAACAACAATAATAATCCACCTCGAGTGCAATGTAAGGATCTGCATAAACAAGATATTAACCAAGCTATCCCCACACGCATTACCTATCGTATTCCATCTAAGGTTAGAGCAAATCGTCAACAGGGTTTTCGGCCGAGTTATGCACGCCGACGGACAGACTGGATACAGCACTTGGATTTGGTGCACCGTATACTGAATCCTTTAATGCAATATCAGTGAGAATTTCATACCGTAACCGTAGACATAGAACAAAACGAAATGGGCGGAATATTAATAATTTAATATCTGTGAGGCACAATAATCTTATAGAAACTACTAGTCGTTCTAAACCTCATGCACTTCCAAGCTTTGGCCTAATAAATTCCCGCTCGTTATTGCCTAAGATCGCCGAACTTGCTGTACTTCTGGATGGTAACCCAATGGATCTAGTGGCTATAACAGAATCGTGGCTACACAAGGATGTTGATGATGGCTTGATATCAATCAATGGCTATAATATCCACCGTAACGATCGTACAGGTAGCCGGGGCGGTGGTGTGTGCGTTTATTCTTTGAAAAACATTCCCTGTCAACGGAGACTAAATTTTGAAAATCCGAATTTTGAATGTCTTTGGTTATGGATCCGCCCGACACGACTGCCAAGACCTCTCTCGGCTATTGCAGTTTGCGTTGTGTATAACCCCCCTGGAAGAACTGCTGAAGAACAACGTGATCTTGATGAATATCTGATGAACACAACGGATTCCATTAGGAATTGTTATCCTAATTGTAGAATCGTATTCCTTGGTGATTTTAATAATTTTGATGTTTCGAACCTAACCCGTAGTCTTAGTTTGAAGCAAGTTGTTTCTGCTCCTACAAGGGGGTCTTCTACCCTTGATCTCATCGTCACCGATTTACAAGATTTTTATGACAAGCCGTATATTCTTGCTCCGCTTGGGTCTGCTGACCATAATATAGTACGATGGGTTCCTAATAAAGTTGATGCTATTACCAAACCTAAACCAATTAAGCGTCTTATACGCCGCTATCCGCCTTGAATTCTTTCGGCCGATGGGCCAGCACGCATCAATGGTTCAGTAATCTGTGTCCAAGCCCTTCCGTAGATGACCTAGCTAATTCCTTCTCATCCCAAGTATCTACAGCATTTGACAGTCTTATTCCCCTGAAATCTGTTAGGTTTTGCCATTCCGATAAACCATGGATGTCTGTGTCTATCAAAAAACTCATTAATGACCGTCAAAGAGCTTTCCATGGTGGAGATGTTCTGCAGTGGAGAACATTGAAATATAAGGTCCAGACCGAAATAGCCGTAAGAAAGAAAGAATATTACAAAACTAAAGCACAACATCTTAAGAAAGACGATTGCCGAAAGTGGTGGCAAGTCGTAAATAAGTTGTCTGGCCGATCTCAGAAGTGTACTAAACTTACCTTTGAAAAGGAAGGTGAATTATTATCAGATTTAGAACTGGCCAATAACTTGAACAAGTTTTTCATCTCGGTTAACGCAGACATTCCACCACTAGATATAACCACGTTACCAGCATACTTACCTGCTGTTGATCAAGTGCCTTACATCGAACCGCACGAAGTCTGTGAGAAATTATTGGTCGTTAATGCCTCCAAAACATGTGGTCCTGATAATATTCCAGGTCGCCTTTTGAAGGAATTTGCGCACCTTTTCGCTGAACCAGTTGCGAAAATCTTCAATATGTCACTTGCATCCGGGATTGTTCCAAATATATGGAAAGACTCACATATTACTCCCATTCCAAAAGTTAACCAACCAACTGACGAGGGTGACACAAGACCCATTTCACTAACGCCATGCCTTTCTAAAGTTCTCGAAGATTTTGTCGTTAGATGGATGATCTCTGACGTTAGGAATAATATTGATGCACAACAGTTCGGTTCTTTAAAGGGTTCATCCACGACCTATTGCTTGCTCGACATGTTGCATTGTTGGCTTTCTCATTTAGATTCAACTGGTCATTTTCTTCGCATATGCTTTTTGGATTTTTCAAAGGCCTTCGATCGTATTGGCCATAACATTCTTATCCAAAAACTTGTTGATATTGGCGTTAGGCGATCGTTAATACCATGGATCGTAAACTTTCTATCAGGGCGAAGACAGCGGGTCAAACTTGCGGAAGCTGTTTCTTGTTGGCTTCCTGTCACAGCCGGTGTCCCCCAAGGTACGAAGTTGGGTCCGATCCTGTTCTTAATTATGGTCAATGATTTACAATGCGGTTCGGGGAGGTCTGGCAATTGGAAATTCGTTGATGATGTTACTATCTCCGAGGGATTATTAAGGAATGTGGAACCGTCTGTAATCCAGTCCGATTTAACTTCTATAGCTACATGGGCATCTAATAACCTGATGAAATTGAACGCAAAGAAATGCAAAGAGATGCAAATTTGTTTCTTTCGGAACAAACCTGAACTACCACACTTGTGTGTTGAAGACCAGATCTTAGAATGTGTATCGTCGCACAAGGTTCTTGGATTGATTATCCAGGATGACCCTAAGTGGACGAACATATTTCGATGATTGTTACCAAAGCATCCAAGCGACTGCATATCCTACGTGTCCTACGACGGGGAGGGATTCCACCGCACGACCTTATCACAATTTATTATGCATTGATTAGATCTACATTAGAATATTGTTGTACAGTATGGCATTGTGGTCTACCTATGTATCTGTCTGAACAAGTCGAGAAAATTCAAAAACGTGCACTGAGGATTATACTGCCAGGTCGATCCTACGGTAAAGCGCAAGAAATGTTGCAGTGTCCTAGGCTGGATATACGTCGAGGTGAACTTTGCGAAAAGACGATGAAAAATATTGCATTGGGCAGTCGTCTTTCTTCTCATCTAACTCTCACCAGTGAGAACGAACATGTGTATAATTTAAGGAATTTTAAACAATTCGCTTCTTTTAAATGTAGAACTGATAGATTTGGTAATAGTTTTTTCCCTAGCATGATTAGTGTTTTAAACAAATAATTGTCCTTAGTTATAAGTTCTTATTTAATTAATAATCTAATGATATATTGTAATATAGTTACTTTTAGTATTGTAATTCCCATTCAAATCAATTGTAAAACACATTGTAATTCATTTTCATGCGATGATGTGTTATTAAAGTACCATTATTATTATTATTATTATTATATTATTATAATTATGGCAACGACATATACGTTTCGCTATATGACAGTACGTGTTTGTATGAAATATCTGGGAAATCAAATGATATTACTGCTAAGACAATTCCGAACACCACACAGCAAAAAATTATTTTCTTATTTTAAGAAAAAAAAACTTGTTTTAAGAAAATTTTCTTGAAATAAGAAAATATTTTCTTGGGAGAATAACAAGAAAATTTTCTTAATAAGAAAATTTTCTTAAGAAAATTTTCTTGAGAGAAAATTCTTAAATTGAGAAAATATTTTCTTATTTTAAGAAAATATTTTCTCAAATCAAGAAATTTTTTTTCTTAATAAGAAAATTTTCTTGTTATTCTCCCAAGAAAAAAGTTTTCTTGAAATAAGACAATTTTCTTAAAATAAGAAAATAACTTCTTATTTTAAGAAGATCATTTCTCAAAACAAGAAATTTTTCTTAAAAAGAATTTTCTTATTAAGAAAATTCTCTTGTTATTCTCCCAGGAAAAAAAATTCTTGAAATAAGAAAATTTTCTTAAAATAAGAAAATAATTTCTTATTTTAAGAAAATAATTTCTCAAATCAAGAAATTTTTCTTAAAAATAATTTTCTCATTAAGAATGTGTTGTTTGGGTGTTTATATGTACAGGTACTCAGGTGAATATTGTTTTTGATGTTACTCTGAGTGTATATGCAGTTAGCAGAGCATTGGACTAGTATCCCAAAGGTTGCGGGTTCGATTCCCACCATGGTCAGGCTAACTTTTTAGCCTGCCCGGTGTGGATATACACTCAGAGTAACATACAAAACATCAAATTATTGTCAATTTATACAAGTTCTTTTTTCAGCCACTGTTACACAACTAGGTGTAGTTCTGATTGCACAGCAATGTGTTGTAGCAAATTTAAGTTCTCCTGAAGACTGATGAAGCAGTAATTTTTCAACTCTTTCCACATGACAAGCAATATTATCTGACAAACCGTTTGTTCAAAGTCCATAGATTTCTTTATAATGCACATTAAACACTGTTCCAAACACATCATGCAAATGCCACTGGAGATCCATCATATATACATCCTTATACAGCTAGTAATCTGTAAAAGTTTACTTACATATTGAGAATGTAAGCATCACTCTAAGTATTATATGTGGTGTATACAGAAATATAAATGAATTTATTAGCGATTTTCAGCAGCCTTTCGCGCTTGTATTCGACTTTTCTGCTTTGCTTGGGGGACAACCTTAATTGAAATAGCTATATATATACAAAATTGCAAGAACAATAGACCTGGAGACTTGCTTGCTAATCTGAATCACTCCTCAGTTACCTAAGTTAACTAGATTAAAAAGCATAGACGGATTTTGGGGGGGTGCTACCCCCCCCCCTAATATTATCTATAACTCCTCCCCCAAACAAAATGACCACCCCTCCAAAAAACTATTTCAACACCCCCCCCCAACATTTGGCATAATAAAAAATAATTAAATAGTCCACTCCAACATGCAGAGTGTTGATGATATAAAATAAACGTAGGAGTACACTCAAATAGAAAAAGACAGTGCATTCACTGGTTTATTGGAGCAATTGTAAAGTTTTGAAACTCTATTATCTCCCCTGAATAGAGTTTGCAGTGCCTTCTCATGCAAATAGCTTGCTCGGAAGGAACATTTGGATTTTTTACGAACATTATTTTTAGTTTTTAATGCTTTTAGAAAATAGACTTGCCTAGATTTAATCTTTATGCCCCAATTATTATTTACATCGGAGTTGCATCATAAAATGTATTCGGATTCAAACGACACAATGTCAATGACTTTATAAAACTGGTAAAAGCATATTGTGTATTGGCCTATTAGGTTCATTTTACGTTTAACACTCCCAAGTCTCATCAGACAATCGGACATGCCAAATCCATTGATATGACCACTTCAAAAAACTTTTTCAAAGCTAGGAATCATGATTTTTTTAAAATTTCTCCAGGATACTTTGTTTTCTGCTCTCTAGACTCCCCCTCACATCTCTAGTGCTCCACCTCTAGAATATAGACCTTACTGGGGTATGGTGACACTTTGTGATGCTTCAGTCACCTGCTCACGGCTCACCCCCCCCCCCCTAAAATTTCTGGCACCATGCACCACAGTAAAAATATGAAAATCTGTCTATGTTAAAAAGATAGACGAGTATTAATTTCATGACTTATTATTTATAATATAATTCATTTATAATATAATTCATTAATATAATTAATTTAATATTATTTATAATATAATATCATTCTTATCTAATACAAAGGGTTTATTGTTTAATGTTATAATCGGCCAATCACCTGTTCATATTGGTAGAAGACGAAAGAGGGAGTATTAAACTACATATGTTTTATATAAATTTTATTAAGCAGAGACATGGCTGTAGGCAGATACAGATGTCCTGGATTCAGTTATCATTTTCTTGTGGCAAGTGCCCAGTAGACTATTATCCCTTATTCATGCACCAAAGCTGTAATATTAAGAAATGTAATAATTTGTCCAATACCATATCACACAGTTACTGACAGTATAGTTTACTTCCGGTTGCTGTTCATGGTTCTTTAAACCAGCTGTACAATGTATTTATAAGGAAGCTGGGCTGGACCGCTTAGCGGGACAACCCGGTAAGCAAATCTTACTGCATTAGGTATATTTATCTAGAAAAAATTATCATGTGTTTATATGGATCCACAAGCAGGCTGGCTCTGATGCCACAATGTTGCTTATTGGGATGAAAATTTCTCCACGTATACACTCACAAGCAGGCTGGGCCAGGATGAATGTTCAAAGATGCCGAGCTGCAAGCTATTTTTAACAACTGTCAAAACAATGTCAACATAACAAAATTGTCCCAGCGAGCAGGATGGCATTTTCTCATATAAACACAATCTTGAACTGTATTAGTGATGCACCGATATATGGAAATTCACAGATATTCTGATAACTGATAATAAAAGACCAATACTTTGCCGATACCGATAATACATGTCATTTCACGAAATTCAAAGATGACTGATACACCAATATGGATATCGGTACATCAGTAGGCGAGTTACCCGGCAAGGTGAGTTACTCACTCAGGCAGGACAAAAAAGCAGTCTATTTATATGAAATCAAGTTACCCCATTATTGCTGCGCAATGACAAAATACAAACCAATTTGGATCATTCAAAAGGTTTAAAAAACATGATTACAAAATAGGCAAGAATAAGCTGCTAGAAATAGAGGAAAGCTATAAATATACCTAATGATTTGTATGTATTTTTGGGCCATTATTTTAAATGAAAGGCATATACATTCTATCTAGGATTGCAGAGTTTCCCGGGTGAAGTATAGTAAGTCGGGAAAACTAAACATTCTCTACAGTAGCCAAGTTATCTGGCAAGGCAAGTAGGAAAATCCTCTGGCATTAGGCAGAGTAAACAATAAAGTAGGATGCAATTCAGTTATTCAGCTATCTATACACTGAAAATATCAGATTAAATGCTGTCATTCTCCTGTAATTCCAATCCTTATTCAAGTATTAAAATGCTAACAGATCTTCAAGAACATGCGTATGTATAATATCTTATTTCATATCACTATATAGCCTTGAGTCTTGACATTTGAAAGGTCTAGCAAAGTGCCAATGTCAAAGGCAATTTAATATTGTCAAATTGTTAATATTAGTGCGTAAATTAGTATGGAATTCACAATAATAGATATGAATTTATATTTTAATCTTTCGTCCCTTGTCTGAAAGCAACATTTGCATGTTTTATATGCAAAACGAACGCGGCAAATTCAAACATTCAATGGAATATTTGCACACTTCGCTCAAGTAAACAGTCATAATGCATGAGTCAATTCCAGGAGTAA